TGTGATGGGTTTTGTGGGCTCTCTGGTCCTTGAAGTCCATGGTGGATGGCGGGTCTGCAGTGGCAGTTTGACATGCCAGTTGGGGTTACTAGGTTTGCTTTGGTCCACTTTTCACTCCTTGCCCCATCCCTGTTTCATAGTCCAGAGACGGTGAAACATTTTTATTTTTGGTTTTGCAGCATTTTGGAATTAGAGAATGCAGAGCAGGCATCAAACAGGCTCGGTTTGATTCCCTAGGTTAGGAAGTCAGGTTTTTGTAGCCCCTTGCTCTCCTTGTAAATACTAAAACTCTAAAAACAGCAATATGGAAATACTTAATATGAAGCAGTCTTTCAAGTCATCAACTAGCTTAACATGGCTGATTTATTTTTTAGGGGAAAAAAACAGTTTATTAATCACAGATGTGCATGTTTCTAGTGTTAAGAAAGCTGGGACTAGAATGAGAATTCCCATTTCCCTTCCAGTTTCAAAATTTTGCCTGTTCGTTGGAGGTAACTTTATCTTCTAGTTTGAGGGGGTCAGAACCCATACTTCCTGCCCTTTTTCTTTAGCTTCAAAAATATATTTATGGACTCTCAGTGAACTCGCTGACCTCACCACCAGAGCAACATATGTGGTTTTTACTTCGAGAGAAATGGCAGTTAAATGCCTTCTTTTCTTGTTGTCGCTATGAACTATAAAACAAAGCCCATCCATTAGGGTTTTTTTAAAATACTTTATTGAATTACAGAGCTGTCTCTACTTGAGCAAATAGTGATTTTATTAAATTTGATGGTTTCTTGTTGGATTGGTGTTGCTGTGTGTGATCGTTATGTGTGTTGGGTTTTTTCTCTCCAAGATGGCCATCTGTTGCATTTATCTTTTTCTAAAAGGGAATCTGACACTCACTAGAAAGTTTACTGTACTTGAAACACAGTTGGGGTTAGCATACCCCAAATTTATTCCATCTGTTTTGGTTTTAAAAGTCCATGTTGTTCTTGGTTTAATTTTGAATGCTCCTTTTTCCTCTTAGCATGTTTTAGTGATAAAATATTCTTGAGCAACCCTAGAAAAACAATTTGCTATGTAGTCGTAAAGGAAACAAAGCCAATTTAGTGTAAACATTCCCAAGCATGCTAATCAATCAAACCAAGTCTATATCCCTAATTATATAGATAGAAATAGTATATAGTGATGGGGCAGGGAGAAATAAGACATACCCGTGTGGCTGTTCTCACAGTAAAGGTGAAAGGTCTTTCTGTGCTCTTGAAAATGCCTGTATTGGATATTGATATTCCCTAATGTTTAGATCTGGCAATGCCTCTACTTAAATATATGAACTTGAGCACCTAGGTTTTTTCATGACTGTGCTCTAGTGTTGTAACTGGTCTCCTGAGGAAGCGGATGGGAGTAAGAATTGGAGAATCTGGACTTCTGTCAGCTGGGATGGGATGGGAAAATGGATGGTAAAGGGTCTCACTGAGAAAACACTGGTGTGGAATATTTGTAGTGAGTATTAATATTGACCTGTGAGGCTCTAGGAATGTTTTCTGCCAATTTAAGAAGGGGTGAAAAGTCGGGTCTGACCTCTGAAGAGCCTAGTGGGTTGGTATTCTGTTCAGGTTAACACTGGTGATGTTAAATCTCTCTTTTTTTTTTAACACCTTTTTTAATAAAATTTTGTCTTTAAGCTGAAGCATTTATGGCAATGCAGTATTTTTATTCATTTTAAGCTTCTTCTCCCCCAGTGCTTTCATGCTTTAAAGAGCAAAGTGGAACAGTGCTATCATTTTGGTGTACTACTTACACTTTGTCCACTTTTATGATTCCCTGAAGCCCTAATAATACTTCAATAAGTACTTTATATTAAATCATGCAGAAGAGAAGATGAGAAGCAGTTACATGCTGCATGCCAAATGAAAACTAATACTGTGTGGGAGGATATGGCTAAAGTATGTGCTGCAAAACATGTCTGGCTAACATTGTTTTGTCTCAGATCCTCTGAACTTGAGTGGAGTGTACATATTTCTTCCTGCTCTCTTCCCTCCTTCTGCCCACAAACTCTTGGCTGACTGGGGTTAAGAGTAGGAGTGGTACAGCAAAAGTGCAGTCAGACAAAAATAGTCGTCTCCCACAGCTTCAGGGGCTCTGCATTGTACTATTTGCTTTTACAAGAAATTTGGTAGTTGATAAGTGTTGATTGTCAAAAGGGTGGGTGAGAATTTGAGGAGGTGGAGCACAGGTTTTATAAAAAGAAAAATGGGTTTATTAACTGCAGGTATGTTACATGCTTAGGATAGGCATGTTTATGTAAAAGTCAATCTTACGCAATCAGTTACTGCACCACCACACCACCTTTTGCTTAGAAAGGAGTAATTGTAAAGGAAAGAAATGCAACAGATACCATGTACTGTTTTGTATTTTTGTGAACTTCTGCGAAGGCTTAGTTGCCCTTTTTTTTTTTTTTTTTTTTAAAAAAAAAAGAAATTGTTCTTTTTTTTTTTTTTGTATGGAAGGAACTTGTATGAACCATTATTGGGATGAAAAATATATACAAATGAAAGGAAAACTTGGCTGAGTGATTATAACATCTTCAAGCTTGGGAGTCTTGAAAACAAAGCATTTAGTTTGGGCTTTAAGAAACTTACTTACAAGAACACCAGCACTGTTTTCTCCTCTTCTGTGTTCCACTAGCAGAGTGGCAGAAGGTTATTTATTGATATCCCCATCAGCTGATGTTTGCTATAATTTCTGAAACAAGATATCTGATAAAAATTAAAAGATGCATGATACAATAAAGGTAAAGTTGAGTTTGGTGAAAGAGAAGTCAAACTAACTTCTTACCGAGGTTTAATAGGAGGTTGTTTGGATTCCTGTGGAGAGCTTGCAGATGGTTGGAAGTTTTGCTTGGAATTTTTTTTAATAAGCAGACCTTTTTTTTTTTTTTTTTTAAATAAAGTAAAAAATCTGTCGTGATGTGGATGCTGATGGCTAGTAGGCTTGCTTTTCCTACGTATGTGCTGAGGACCCTTAAGCAGTAATCCAGGGACCTTGAGGGATACTCAGATTGCAAGTTGAAAACCATTGTTATAGATAATTAATTTCTTCCTTATGTTTCCTGCTTCAACAAGAAAATAATGTGGTAATTCTGTAGCACTGCTATCCCAAGATTTAGAGACAAAGCTGACTAGTGTATCTGCATCTGCTTTTTGGTAGTACCCTTTACTTAAAGCCTTGAAACCATGTTAATGGCATGAAAGGAAGTCTCCTTACCCATGTGCGGCACAGCTGCAGCTGTGGCTAGAAGACAATTCTGTAGATGAATCCTGATTCTGGGTCACTTGCTTTAAAGTGTTAGCATCTAGCTTGTTGCACTGAAAGTAGGCTTTATAAAGTTTGTTTATCTTCTGCTTTATGGAAACATGATGAAAGTGGTGGTTAATAGCAATTATTGTGTATGTGTTCATACAGTATAAGCTACAGGAGTTCTTAACATCAGAGCTGATGTATCTTAATGGTCACATGCCATTTGGGTTTTATTAGAATAGAGAAAAATCTTGACAAACAGCCTGATAGATCACAATTTTGGATTCCGAGGAAGGGATGCCCTTTTTGGAACAGCTTGAACAGTGAAGGAAAAATAACAAGTCCTAACTTAATATAGTTGCATTTTATGTCTCTTTTTCCATCTCGGTTCAAAGCCATAATTTGCACTTAATATTCTATGGAAACAGAGCAGGCTCACATACTTGTGTGTAGATCCAAGGCATTTGGGTGTTCACAATGAAGTGTATTGCCACATCAGTGTGACCGTATTATTCTACAAAATTCAAACTACCTCAGGTCAGACCAGCAATACGCCTCTTATGGAAAAGCTGCCAGAAGAGGTGACCTGAACATCTGTGTCAAGCTTCAAGAAGGAACGCAAGCATTGCATTTAATTCCCATCAGTAGAAACATTCAACAAAACATTTTTTATGTCATCCTTATATAAACTATCTATCTCCAAAAGTGCACACGCAGGGGAAAAAAAACATATTTGACAGCCTAGGAGAGTCATGTTAATACCCTAGTGGTAGATAATATTCATAGGAGTGGTGTTACAAGAATGTGTCCTGAAAAAAAGTATGTTTTTAGGAAAAGAGAATTGCTGGGGGGAAAAGCATTGTGCTGCATGGGGAAAAAAGAAATGTAGTCTCACAATAGCTAACCAGTGGGTGTTTATCATAAGCATACGGTCCAGTTCAAGTGACAGGAGCCTCGGTGGGAAAGTGCTATTGACCTCCTGCACATGTAACTATGGCTTGAGAAAAGTTTATCCTTTGTTTGACTACAGAACTTCAGGCATTGTCATGCTGAGAAATACTGCTGATTCTGAGATTTGAGCAAATGGGCTTTTAGACATAGATGTTCTGTGCCTTTTTAAAAAACAAACAAATCACCAGCCAAAACTCCGAGAAGATTTAAGCAAAAGACAGACACTTAGCTGTTTTCTGGATTCTTCTTCCCTCTTTCCCAAGGGTAGGGGAAATAAATAAATAATGAAAGTAACTGCAGCATTTGTAATAAAATGTGGTGTTTGAAAAATAAATTACTTATCTCATTGAGGCAATTACTTTTACTCTTCATGTCCATGCTCAATGCATTATACATTAAAAGATAAAACAAGCGTATCCTTCCATAAAGTTAGATGACATATGGAAAGTATATATATGGAAAGTATATATACTATATATATATAGTATATATATACTATCAAATAAGTAGCAGCAGCAGTAGGAATGAATTATAATTGAGGCAGGAGCAACTTAATAAAGCTTGACTGTTGTAAGCATATAAATGGTCCTTATGCAGCATGAACACAGATAGTTGTGGTGTCGTCAAAGGCCAGGTTACTTCAAAATAATCTGGGCAATTCATCCATCAATCCAATCTGATATCCATTATTACATATGTCATTTGCCTTGTTTCTCACTCACCAGCGTTTCAGCTTTAAAATGCTCCCCTCATTCTTTTTTCAGACTCCCTTTCGGTCTCCAGCAATGATGCCAGTCCTCCTGCTTCAGTAACATCGCTTCAGCCCCACATGATCGGTGCACAGAGCTCCCCAGGCCCCAAGCGCCCTGGCAACACTTTGAGAAAATGGCTTACCAGTCCCGTGAGGCGTCTTAGCAGTGGAAAAGCAGATGGGCATGTCAAAAAACTAGCCCACAAGCATAAGAAGAGTAGAGAGGTTCGCAAAAGTGCCGATGCGGGCTCTCAGAAGGATTCTGATGATAGTGCAGCGACCCCACAAGATGAAACTGTTGAAGAGGTAAGCATTCAGGGCAGCTTCCTGAGACTTGTTTTTATGTTTTCAAAGAACTAAATATTGTCAGGTGAAGGCTGTCTCCTCAGCTGACTGTCCAGCAGTTGAACAAAGTGGTGTGTGCCATGTGCTCATTCTTGATGACTGCTATACTCTGCGTAAGTACTGTGCCAGGCACAGTTTGTGCCCTTCTGCATTGAGAGCATTAGTAAAGCTCTGTGGAGAAGGATCTCTAGTTGAAAAAGAGAAATGGGAGAGTAAAAAGTTGTTCTTTGGCTTTGATCTCTTATCCCACTCAGGAAAGCAGCTTTGTGAGTAAAGGTGCTTCATGTTCTGGGAACAATCAGGTCATTTTGTATTCCCTTTCCTTTTCTTGTTGGTGGATCAGGGAAAATACAGGGAGAGCTGCTTAACTGCTTAAAGCTGTATTTACACCTTGAGCAAGAGTTAGAGCACAGAAAAATTACTGGCCCTTCAAATCAAAAGGTAGTTACCATAGGTCAGATAATAAACATGGCAGTTTTCATTGGAGGGCAGGAAATTGTGAACTATTCCAGATTTTGCCACCAAGGACATCTACTGAACATTTCCCTTCCTCCCACAAACATCTCCCCATCATTCTAAGCCTGGAACTCGTGTACGAGCAAAGCCTGCCTCCAGTTAGGTGCAGACAGAGCCAAATTCTCTTCTGGTACGGACCTGTGGTTCAGGCTGAAATGAATGGCGTCTTACTGCTTCCAAGGGCACAGCCACTTGCATGCTGTACAGTTATTCCCTTTTACCAGGCTTGAATCTGACTAGCAGTTTTGGTAGTTATCGTACAGAAAAGTGGTCTTAGATGCCCAGTTAATTATTTAGTGCATTTTTTTTCCTTGGTCCCGACATATTTTGCTGCAAGCTTGGAACATCAGTGAAGTTATACAGTAAATGTAGGGAAAGAAAACACTAGAGACTTGGCAGCATGGTGAATTGGGAGATGTGGTTTGGAAAGGAATATTGGCCTCTTTCCTTGAATGTCAGGCTGCAGAAGGAGACCCTCTGTGATGCAGTTGTAGCATTGTTTTGGAAGTATCTTATTCTGCTGTTCTGTGAGTGAGGGAAAACCTAAGGCCAGTGCCTTAAAGTCAGGAAAAAACAATAATCACCTATGCTGTATTCCTTCAAAGATAGTTAAACTACCCTGCGAGATCAGTTACATTGAACTTTGGCTAATTTAAATCACAGTTCCTCATATAATTGGAAGGACTGTCTTTTAACACAACTGTAAAAATTATACAAGCAGTCTGCTCTCACTACTTTGGGGGTGGGCAGAAAAGGTAATTGACAAAATACTTCATGTTGTAATAGGGGTTTTTTATATCCTTTAGAAGTCTTGCTATGAGGGTTGGTACTTCAGATGCAAAGTTCTTGAGTTTCTAAGTTACAGGAATGTGGCTCTTTACAGAACTGAACTTGGAAAGCAACCACATCTTTGGTAACACTTTCCTGTAGTAAATTTCAAGCTGAATGTCTTCTTCTCAGTATCTCGATCCATCTGCTTTTACCAAACACTGAAAACATTAGCTTTGGCATCTGCTTTTTTCCCCTCTGTTGAGGAGCAGCGCTGTGTTTGTAGGATCATCTTGACTTGTTGGGAGAGAGGTGAATCTACAGAACAGACTTGTTTAAGACAAGTTTGTGTTGAACAAGCTTCATGCTGCTGAGAAGGTAACAGAGCTTGAATGTCTTGATTTCATTTACAGAGAGGTCGGAATGAGGGGCTGAGCAGTGGCACTCTCTCCAAGTCATCCTCTTCAGGCATGCAGAGCTGTGGAGAGGAGGAAGGCGAAGAGGGAGCAGATGCTGTACCGCTTCCTCCTCCAATGGCAATTCAGCAACACAGTCTTCTCCAGCCCGACTCGCAGGATGACAAGGTAGGAGGAGGAAGCAGGGAAGGCTTCACACGTTGAAAGAACCTCTGTTTGCTCAAATCTTTCTTCTGTTTCCAAAATCTCTGTAATGTATGTAACATAGCTTTATGGTAGACAGAAGTAATTACTATGCCACTTTAGACAACGTTAAAAGGGTTTCCTGTGGAAAGAGTGCGAATTAAATGCATCTCTATTTTAAAAGCACAAGTGCAGAAATTTTTCTGCTAGCAGTTTAAATGTGGAAATGGGCCACTTTGTGTGTTTGCAGGCCTATTTACATCTGTTTAACAGATGCCATATTTAGTGATTAGAATTTAATTGTTTTATAATCATACCTTTGGGTACTGAGGTTAAAATACTATGTGCAAGTAAAGTTTATCTGGAGAAATTAGCAGTTGTACATAATGTTTTTAGATCATAGGCTGTTCACCAAGCCCTGCTATTTTGGATAGTCTCAGTTCAGGGGAAAAAAAAATTCTCGGTACCTGTCTTAGCAGAGAGAGTTGTTCACATCAGCTCTGAGGTGTTTTTGTATAGCAGCATAGCACTTTTTTTTCTTCTTTTTTGGTGCCTCTACAAGTGTACTAAGAAGTTAATATCCAAATATGGGTAATAATCCAGCTTGTTTGTACAAACAAAGGCACATTAAAATTGAGGGTAAAAAATTTGCATTAGTAATGAAATTCTGGATGTAGTCAGTAACTGCATGAAGGAGATCTTACTCGCATGTTATCTGTTTTTCTTAAACATTGTGATGTTCATACATGGGGAGGATTTATTGCACTTTTCAACCTGGATCAAATGTTTAGGGGACAACTATCAAGCCTGGAAATAGAAGGTTTTAGAATAGAAACGGTGTGGACTTGTGCAGCAAATATTCACATTCACTGTTTGCTTCCCATTTTGCTGCTTAAAATTTTTAGCCATTGTAATCTACAGCATGAACACGTTAGTGAATTTTGTGGGTGGTTACTCACTGTTCTGAGTGGTGCAGATGTTGTTACTGATAACTTTGGCTGATCTTGTTGACTACTTTTTTTTCTTCCTTTTATCCCACTGCCTTTCAGTGGGGATCTCAATCATCCCTGAAGTTATCATTTGTAGGATCAAAATGGCTGGCTCCCGTGCTCTATGTGTATTTAATTCTTAATGTTTTCCAAATCGAAAAAGTGTAATATGAGTTGGAGGAGTTAATATATTGGGAAATATTCTTGAAATAAAACAGGTAAAAATAGGCATTTTAAAATTTTGCCAGCCTTTAGACCTGAGAGAATATTTTATTGCTAGAAAATAATAATCTCAGTTTGAGGTTTAGAAATAGAATAAAAATAATGTTGGTGAAAATATGTTAAAGTTCCTGCTGATAAGCTGCCATATTTGCATGTCCCTTCAGTGATATAAAAAGAATTGTATGTAGCCTTATAAAAAGTTCTCCAGAGAAAAATGGCTTTTGCTTATGTAGTTCTTTTTGCACAGTAAGAACAGTTACGTGAAGGGATATGCTTGTAAGTTAGAGTCCATTCATTTTTGTATTTCTGATGCAAAGTAAGACCCTTATGACAGTAGAGTAAGAGGCTTTGAGTAGCTTTCAATCCCCAGTAAAATTTTACTTTTCACTTCTTGAGGTTAACATGGACCCACTGTGGTAAAAACAGGTTGGGACAGTTTTTTGAGTAGCTTAAACTGCATTCTAGAAAAGACTTCTGAGAAGTTAAAATTTGGTACAGTTAATATTATACCATAATTTTTCAAAACATGTAAATCATGATTCATTTAAGGTGCGTTGTTTTTGTGCAATATCCGTCCTACAGCATGGTGGGAGGCAAAAAAGTCCCCTCGTGGCAGCCTGGGAGGTTGTGTGTGCCTCCCTGAAGTCCACACACCAAGGTGTACCACCGATTTCCAGTACCTAGAGCAAATGCTTTATTGGAATGCAGAAGTGAGAAGCCAGAGCAAATTTTTACCCAGCAGAAGTCAGTTGGCCCTATTGATGGAGTTAGTGATTAATAAAAGGCTTGCAAACAAATTCCTGGTTGTCTGCCTTCTGGGTGGAGTCCTCCTTCGCATTCCTGCCACGCTCAGTGGTTTCTTCAGTTGCTCAGCTCCTCTGGATCCCAAGGAATGTCTCCTCCTTTCCGTGACCTCAGAGGCTTGGCTGCTAGCATTTCTTCCTCTCTAGGGCTCCTGGTCTACACTCAGTGCTGGAAACTCCCTGCTCACTGGCTTTCTCCCTCCCTACCCAGCCTGCTGTGGGCTCCAGCAACATCTCACACCTGTGCGTGCTCAGTTGCTCCACCTTTCCCTGTTTTCTGGGCAAGGTTGTACTCTGCTCCCAGAGTACATCATCGGGAAGAAGGTCAGCAGGCAGACTTCACCTGTGCAGCCTGGCAGCTCCTTCTTTTTCAGATAATGTATGATATAACCATATGAACTGGAAACAAACCAGTTCTGAAGTTTTACCAACAGTCACACCCCATATACTCCCAAAGAGCAATAACAGAGAGAAGGGGCCTTGACCCAAGTCCGATTCCAACACTGCCAGTGTTTTGTAAGGCTAAGCTCAGCTCCACATCCAAAGTGAAAACCCGCATACAAGCACAGCTTTGGAAAACCTGGTCCACAGTCAGATGTCAGGAGCACGCAATTGCCTAAAAGACACACTAGCTGTGGGATTACTCAGTTTTTGGTGTGCATGCAAACATCATGTGGTAGACCATGCTGATTTGTCTAATATCACTAAACAACACAGCCATTTTCTCCCCTAAGAGCTCATCTGCACAGTATGCATTCTTCTGTTCAGTAGAATCATTGCACACTTCATGGTTTTGCATTTGATGGCAGTTTACGAGTTGTTTGCATTTAATTTTTGGATAAGCAATATTAAAGTTTCAAGATCAGTTATGTTAATATGAAACTAATTCTTTTTGCTTTTTGTTTTCTCTTTTTGTAAACTCTGATGCAGCATTATGTTGACTTGTGTTCTGTCTCTGCTTTGGCTCAGTTCCCGTATCTTTCCATTTAAAGTTGTCTGTATTTCCTTTGCTTACCCAACCCCTGTTTTCCTTTCCAAATAAGACAAATACAAGGCAAACTACCTAAAAATCTGTATATTCTTTTTTTGTATTGACTTATGGGGAGCCTTGTTACACCTGTGCTTGACTTGAGCAGAACCTCTTGTGTTAAGTCATTATACGTGCCATTTCTTTGTCCAGTTTGTTGGAAACATTTGCAGGACAGCTTACTCTGTGCTACATGATGTTCCCTGTGCTGTTTGTAATATGAAGTAAAGTTCATATTACACCCTGTTTTCACTTTCCAGTTATTTAATGATAAATGTAATATGCAAACACCTCTGTTTGCAAATTACCAAGGCTGAATTTAATGGCCCTCTCCCAGAATCCTTTACTGTGAACACCTTTTACCTTCAGTTGTATCTATAAACTGGCATTTTATAGCTTATGAGGCCAGAGATCTTCTGTGCTCTACACATACCATTGGGGAAAATGGATGGCACAAGGAATGGTGAGCTCAATTTCCCCTCTGAATCTGGGCAATATACCCCAGCTCCTTTAGAAAAGTAAATGCCCCTGAGTTACTGGTGTATTTTTTCTTAGCTTAATGATGCTTCCTCCTTTATTTCAAGTCGTCTTGGTTCCTGTTACTTTTCTGCAGTTGTTGCTTTGTTTAAACACCAATAAAATATGTTAACAAACTGTTTGTTGTCCATTGGGTCAGCTCAGGCGATTTTTATAGCTATTTGTCAGGCGTTACCATAATCAGCAAGATGAAGGATATTTCCTTGACTTCTGTTGCATGTAGGAACAGGAATTTTTATCCCAGCATTTAAATTCTGTGGGGGTTACTTAAAATTTCCAATTCCAGTTGCCCAAGTTGGAAGGGATGATCTTAGTGTTATATGACACTGACGGTTACTGTCAGGTACCTTTTGTCTAACAAAGAAGTGAAGGAGGTCTCTTGATCCTTGAGCAAGTACCCGGCTAACTCTGGGATTCTCCTTCCTTTGTGTCACTGCACAGACATCTTCTCGATTACTGGTGCGGCCAACCAGCTCCGAGACACCCAGTGCTGCAGAACTAGTCAGTGCAATTGAAGAGCTCGTCAAAAGTAAAATGGTGAGGCTGACTGGCAGATGCATGTGTTTAAAGAAGTTGTGTCTTCAAGTCCCGACTTGCTATTCAAAGAAAAGCTATATGCCCATCCCGAGCGTACATCTTTGACTTGTAAAATCTGATGCCTGTTTAAAAAGTCATTTTCTGGGTTGGTGTATGGGTTGCTTTGTACACCCTCTTTTGTGAAAGCACTTACTGAATAGGTAAATGGCTGTGTAGAAAAGCAAAAAAACCAATAAATATAAGGGAGAGGAGAAGACACAAAACGTATTTCCTATTAGTAAAAAGAAAATGTCCTATTAGTAAAATGAATGGTAAGACCCAGGGTTACCCTGATTTGCCTGATAGACCTTTATGAGAAGAATCCCTGAGACTGAATTTACAGCAAATCTTGCAGAGTTCAACAGTAAAGCAGATAACCCTCACACAGAGACATTTATGCTATCTAGCTGGGTTTTAGGCAACGTGATAATGAAGACATAAGTAAAAGAGTAGAAGGATCGTTTTATATCTTAGCGGCTCCTTCCTTGCTTTGCAGTGTTTGCTAACAAATTAAGTATGAGGAATTGTGTCAGCTTTTTTAAGTTTCTGTGTTTTAAAATTTCTGTTTCTGAAGATGCTCATTGACAAAGAATAGGGAGTATGGATAACACCAGGAAGGCCCTCCTTCATATTCAAAACCCGACCTGACCTGGTCCTGGAAAACCTGCTCTAGATGACCCTGTTTGAGAAGGAGGATTGGACTATATGGTCTCAGGAGGTCCCTCAGCGATTCTGTGATTCACTACCTTTAAGTCTGGCTTTTGCAACATAGACCCTGTTGGGCTTAGTAGAAGTGCTGCTGTGAAAACTCCACAGAGAATTGCAGCATGGCAGCCCCATGTTACCAGAGGCTGAAATTTCCTAGGCTTGTTCTAAATTTAAGCAACTTTAAATTTCAGAATGAGAAATTTGAATTTCCATTTTATATTTCCTCATTCAGAAAGACTTACACTTCACTTACATTACTGCATGAAATAATTTCTGCACTCTCTTAGAGTATTAACTTTGGTTTTTACTTCTTGTTGCACCAGAAGGGTGAATAAGAATTAATCTGTGGGAAAATTCAAAGCAGCCTTTTGTAAATGGAAAGTTTGACAGTCCATGTGTCTTTCAGGCAGCCTAGCAGTGGATATAGCTTAAATGATCCATGCATATAGTCCCTGGTGGAGATGTTCTCATTTCACAATTTTAGCCAAGGGTCAGCTTCTTTTGGGTTTTGGGCCAGTCATACCATTACTGGGGTTTTACTTTTTGTAGGGAAACAAAGAAGATTACAGCTGAACCCCACCCTGGTGAAGTTAATGTGTCTTGTATTAAAGCCTGTATCACATTCAAGGAAAAAGTGATACATAACTGTAGCTTGATCCAAGATTATGGGCTTGAATTAAAGAGGTCCAATAAACACTTCATAGAAGCTTGTTCATATTATTTCTTCTACGGCTTCTCCATCTTTTGTACAAACAGAAGACTGCAGAGTCCATGCAAGGGAGACGGTGTATCTGGCAGAAGAGATAGGGACTTTTTCCTAGGATCTGAACTGTCATGAAGCTCAAAAGCAACATTGACTGTAGAAGTCATTATTTTCTACAATGAGTCAGTATTTTGGCTAGTTAATATGATAAACAAAATGTCTGACAAAGAATGCCACTTCTGTTGTAACAAAAAATGTAACATCCAAAGAACATCCTTTAAACATGTCCTATTTATTATTGAAAGTAACTTGCATACGCTAGAACTAAAGTATGACAAATATAATTTAATCCCCGGCAATAAGCACACATCTGTGTAGCTTCCACCATAGAAGTACTTACATCCTGAGCAGGATAGTCTGATTTTTATCTCTTGCTGTTTAAACCAACTGAACTCCTTTCTTTTGCTGTGAAGGAAAGACTGACGTATCTCAAATGTGCTTCTGTAAGGTTACGTTATCTGTCCTGGAAAGCCAAGTTGTTGGTTGGTTTTCTGGAAGCTTGAGGCCACCTTTGCCAAGATACATTGCAGTAATTGATCTCCCATAGGTTACCATATACAGCTGCATGTAAATGCGTCTTGTGAATAAAGGGGAAATAAATCATTGTTGCTGTCTGTCTTGAACACCTTCTCAGGCCCTGGAGGACCGTCCAAGTTCCTTGTTGGTAGATCAAGGTGACAGCAGCAGTCCATCCTTCAACCCTTCAGATAACTCCCTTCTCTCTTCCTCGTCACCCATAGATGAGATGGAAGAAAGGAAATCCAGCTCCTTAAAAAGACGACAGTAAGGCCACATTTTTAGTCCTTTTTTGACAATGTTTTGAAAAGATAAATGAAGTGTTTTAAAAATGTCCATTTTGAACTGGCAGCAGAAACTGTTAATCTGGAAGGGGGAGGACTTGCGTTAGGTGTCAAGCATGCAGTCACGTTATGCAAAGAAAAAAATTTTCTTGAACAGTCATAGTCTCAATTTCCTGTGATTTTTAATTTTAGTTATACCTGTGTTTGACTTTTGTCACATGTCAGTCTCAGTTATGCAGGATTAGTTATACCTGTGTTTAACTTTTGTCACACGTCAGTCTCAGTTATGCAGGAAGATGCTGATCTTTAAATGTTTAGAGGGTGATTAGGCTTCAAAAAACTGGTCGTTCCCCTTGTTCTGTTCCACTGCACTCTTAATTCCTTTATGTAATAGTAAGCTGTTACCATGGTAGAACAAAAACATGCCTGGTTTCAAAATCATTTAAATCTGTGGGTAGAAATAACAGTTCATATACTTAAGAGTCTCCAGACCAGAGATGTAATAGCATTTTATTTTAAACAACAGTTAAATGTTTAATTTTAATGACACATGTAAGAAAACATTGACTTTAGATAAACAGAAGTAAGCCTGCTCCGGTTCCAAAATCAAAGCAGCGTCCTGCTTAGAAAGAATGTGCATTAATTCTTCCATTTCAGCTCTGCTTATCAAACGTATCTGACTGCAAATGTCTGAAAAGCTGTATGCCATTAATCCTCTTTAAGAATCTGTTTCATTTTTTTAATGAAATATGTGTTCATCATTTTCTTTCCATTGTAGCTATGTCTTACAGGAATTAGTGGAGACAGAGCGAGATTATGTACGAGATCTGGGCTATGTAGTTGAGGTATGATGTTTTTCATTCTCTTGATTCCCCCCCCCCCCCCCTGGGGGCCCCCCCCGCGGTGTGGCGCGACA